GAAATACCAAAGGACACTCCCTAATGCCAATTTGCAAAAATGTAGCAGGATGGATACGCTGCTATAATTCTGGTGCCATACAGAAAATATATTTAAAAGCATCACCTATTACCCTAATGATACTGACTCGAATTAAAATCCCATGAAGTTATGGAAAAAGGAAGTGTCCAGACTTTTTCGAGGATTTTATTATTTATTGGCAACTTGCTTAGCGTTTTATGCTGGGTAGGCCGCAATAATACGCATTAAATAGAGGCCTAGAATGTTCAAAGATAAACATTTTGACCAGACAAACGAAAGTTTGAAAATGACCAACGATAAGATTATCACCAAAATCCAAAATATTGCAATGTAAGAAATGAAACAAAAGTTCATTTCTTATCATTTCAACTAATGCGGGTAAGGAGGCTCTGCACCAGACGAGACACATCCTGGATCACAGAATTCTTGTCTGAACACCGTACACAAGAAAAGAAGTTACTTTTTGATAGTTGTAATGCAGGCGGTCAACGAAATTTATGATACACCATAAGAGGATAGGTTGAAAAAGCAGGACTTATTTCCCTTAAATTACAGAGACTTAAGATGTAGCCTAGTCTGCATATTTCGGATTCTCTGTGGCCGAAACTGATCTTTGAAATAGGAGGACTCCTTCGAGGCTGCATGTACAAATAACTTACATGACGTTCCGTATACAGTCAGGGGCGAACTCATGCAACTGGACATCGGAAAAATATGCCTAAGCCAACTAGTAGATTGACCATGGTACTTAATAAAAAAGCAAGATAATGATGGTTGAAATTTCAATAGTATATTCTTTTGAGTATTTCTAATTATTGATATTTCGTGTGGCAAATTGAACTTTCATAGTTATAAGCCTATTTCCCTTAAATACAGTGAACAAAACAGAGACTCCGTCGACAGGTATAAATCAAAACAATAACAAACAGAGTATGGTAAATTGTCAAATATTTCCGATTACCTTCAGATGCTTCAAATAAACATTTTCTGCACTACGTGCCCAAGTTGTTTGCTACAGAGCCTTCGCGTAAGGCCACTATTCTCACAAAAGTCTCGCGTAGAAAACAGTCATCGTGTTTTAGTCTAACACATACGTGCAACTCTTTAAAATAATATCATATTCGCTAGTAAATAAACGACTTATTCTCCGTTCATCTTCAAGTATTGCATGCTAAATGCGGTTATTTTTATGAAAGTCAAACAATTTACTATATTATACTACGTTACTACACATACGTCAACAGGACATCATGTTTGTTTTAACTAACTAAAAAGGGTATCAAAAAACAAAGACTAACAACGCGCGAGGCATAACTAAACGGGAGATGCAAGAGTCGCTTATGTCAGTTCGTGGCGCAACTCAGAGATAATTAGTGTATTTTTAGAATTATACAAATCAACATAGGTCAAAATAATAAGTCAGCTAAAATAGGGCATTTCCTTTCTGAAAGTCAAGGTCTATTTTTGGAAAGTCATCTGGGTCACCATCAGCATTTATAGTAAAGTTTATGGCTAAGGAGTCAAGTCAGAAAAATTCGCTATCTAGCAAAGTCGTCGAAGGCAGTCCAATTTATGTTCGTGTCGCGCGCAATGTGCCGCTTCATCTGCATATCGAGACAGAGGGCGCTGAAAAACCTAACGATAAACCCCAGAGAGAAGTGACAAATGTGAACACCAATAACAAGTCTTCCTCAAGCGGCTTTGCGCAAAATGCGCCATGGATACCCCCTCCTGGCAAAACATCAACCGGTATAGTCTTTTTTTATCTCCTATGTTATTTATGTGTTCTGACTTAAAAATTATTGTACTCATATTATGTTTTTCTACTCAGTCTGTAAAATAATAAAATAATTTCACACGAAGGCCGCCGACCTCCCTGCGCTAATGATGATGGAAATCGCCGATGTCTAAGCCAAGAAAGCCCGCGGATACGCTTTCATCCTTCGGTGCCAGCCAGTGAAAGTAACATTGTGAGTCGGTTTCCGAAAAACAATCTTTACATTACTATTTAAAATATTTATTTGACAATAAAATTACCACGTAGCCTCTCCAAATCTTAAAAATAAAACGAATAGACGTCAGAAAGCATTTTAGTTCAGAACTTATCTCGGCGTGTATAAATCACACGAGATGCACATAATTGGCTTGTGATTTTTCCCTCTAAAGTTACATAGATGCAGACCAAGATGTGGAGTAAGCCCCGTTGGAAGTAACCGAGACGATGAATACAAGGACGTACCAGGAACAGATGTGGCACAGAAAGATAACACAAGGGTTTGCACATGGAATGTCTTAAACCCAACCTTAACCTCTCGCTTCCGTCTGGAGTCAGACGACATTGCAATTTCCGAATGCGGTGCACAGCGCTGTGCAACGATGCGCGAATGGTTACGAGAAATAGATCGATCCGTCGAGCGACTGTCTGCATGCATCAGGGATATACTCCAGAGACGTTATAAAGTGAGTTCGCTTATAGCCGGGTGATTTCACGCTTCAGAGTTCACATAGACAATATGCTTGAATGCTACTTTATACGGTTAAAATTTGCAATTACACGGTCTGCTGTGCACCTCAGATTGCAAAGGAGCTGGATTACTGAAAATGCCCTAAAAAATAATAAATACTATGGAGAGTTATAATTGCAAAGCATTATAAGCTATTCAAAGTCACGTGATAGATTTAACGAGAGTTTGTTGGAATGATAGTTGATGATATTTGAAGTCCCGACTTTGCCATGTTCCACACAATCACCTTAAGGAGCCCCCTATAAAGTGATTTTAATATATATAGAAATTCTTGTAGATGGTTTACTTTGGTTTAGTAAGGAACCATGCATCACGTTAGGCTCACTGTAGAATTATAGTTAGTAAATGCTTGTGGCTCACGCAATATACAACACTAACTCGCATTTCAAGTTAGGTTATTAGATGCATTTCATTTTTAATCTTGGAGGTCCATATGGGACAGAATGATCAAACAACCTCTAACAAAGCCCTGCTGGGACCGCAGTTGATATTTTCACTTTTAGTGAGCTAAAAGAAATTCGCGTGAGTGCTAAACATACCCCTTCTATCTAATCTTTATTTTTTTCTTCCTGACAGTGTTTTTGCGAAAGCAAAAACTCCGAATGCAACGAAAATGCCTACGAGACTGTGCTCACCCAGTCTGAGGTGCTCCGGAGAGCTGCACAGGAGTTAGCAGCACGCTACAGTAAACTCGTGACCGAGAACGACTTGAACAGTCGGGAGATTGACGTGCGCGAAGCCAAACACCGTACCGAGGTCAAGATACTGCAAACGGAGCTTGAAAAAGCAAGTATGTTGCGCCCAATTTAGCAAAATACAGGCTGACGGTGCGTCCCCTCGAGCAGTGGCCCACAATAAATTAGACCAGATTTCGGGTTTTTAAAAACTAAATTTGATAACTTATTGAGACGGGAAGAGCTAGCCAAACAAGAAGGAGGTAAAAGAAGTGAAGAAAAAGTTTTGGAATTCTAAACAAAAAAGCCGTAAGGTGTGTCGGTGATGATACTAGTGTTTGCTCTCTCTATCTTTTCTCAAGCTTTCAGTCTTCCGCAGAGTTAATTGCTCCTCCAATCGTTTTTTCTCCTAAACCAGATGTTGAACTAAATCGCGCAAAGGAAGAGCTGAGTGGCTGTCAACAGGAGATTCGACGACTAAACAGCGTCCATTCCTCTCTGGAGTCTCTCAAGGGCCACCTACAGTTGCAGCTGAAACATCGCGAATCCGAATGCAGTCGGTAAGGCAGTAACCAAAAAGCCACTTTTCTGTTTGAAAGGTGTGAAACATGAATCAGTTTCGAGGTCGGTCGTTGGAAACGGCGTATATACCCAAACGTCTTATCGCATGACTTATACAGTATTACTCATAAGAAGACAAGTTTGCGGTAAAGAAGCCTGTGTTCTTAACCTGTCTTTCACTGACTGAGTGCTCTTGGTCGGTCGCCGGACTAACAACAGGTTGGGTGCGATGTTTTCATGCGGAAAAAACGACCCCCTTCTTCTGTCGCTGGATAGGAAGCCAAAGCCTCAAAGGGACCTTGCCCAGCAGCAACGGTTTACAACCCAGTGGGAAATAGTGTAAATCGCAACTTGATCTGTCAGACAAAGAAGGCAGCGCCAACATGTTATCATGTGTAAAATAACAGAACAGACAATTAATGAGCATTTTACTTTTCAAGATGAGAGTGTCTGAATGTTAGCTTCCGACTTATTTGCAGTGTGATGAGTCGACTACACACCCTGCCCCAGGATGGGATTTGAATCGACAGTTTAAATCAGACGCCACACAAAACCCGGGACAAGGGATCACGCTCGACAAACTAGGCTCAGTAGCATGCGCTGAACTGATCTTATCTTGATTTTTCGACAAGTACACCCTACCTCCCTCCTTTTTTACAGCCTCGGCACACAGCTTCGAAAAGCGGACGATAAGCGATCGCGCGAACTGGAGAAGAC